AACAAAAACACTAATTTAAAAAGACATATGCACCCCCCATGTTTATTGTGGCATTATTTACAATAGCCAAGATATGGAAGCAACTTCAATGTCCATCAGTAGATGAATGGATAAGGAAAATGTGATGTGTGTCCACACACACACGTACATATACATACAGTACAATATTATACAGCCATAAAAGATGAGATCATGCCATTTGAGACAATGGAAGGGCCTAGAAGGCATTGTGCTAAGTGAAACAGGGCAGACTGAGAAAAGCAAATGCCGTATGATTCTAGTCATAAGTGGAATCTAAAAGAAATGAATAAACAAAAAGCCCAATCAGACTTACCAATATAAAGAACAAATTGATGGTTGCCAGAGGGGATGAGGAGTGAGAGAATAGGCAAAATGGGTGAAAGGAGGAGGGAGATACAGTCTTCCAGTTATAGAGTAGATATGTCAGGGAATGAAAGACAGCATAAAGAATAAAGTCAGTGATACTGTGATAGTGACGTAATGGGGTAAATAGTAGCTACACTTGCAGTGATCAAGCATAACCTATACAGTTGTTGAATCACTAAGTTGTGCCCCTCAAAATAATGTAACATTGTCTGTCAGGTATACCTAAATTTAAATTTAAAAAAAAGAAGGATTCTTTTTTTTTTTGTCTCCAGGTCTTGATGATTTGCCTATAATGTGTCTAAATGTGGCGCTCCTTGAATGTTTTGTGCTGAGTTTGTTGAACTTCTTGGATGTGTACATTCATCTTTTCCATCAAATTTGAGACATATTCAGTTATTATTTCTTCAAATATACCTTCTTTTTTTAAAATATTTATTTTTGAGAGACAGAGTGCAAGCAGGGGCTGGGCAGAGAGAGAGAGAGAGAAACAGAATCTGAAGCAGGCTCCGGGCTCTGAGCTAGCTGTCAGCACAGAGCCCGACGTGGGGCTTGAACCACAAACCACAAGATCCAAACTGAAGTCAGACACTTAACTGACTGAACCACCCAGGTGTCCCTTCAAATATACTTTCTAATGTTTATTTTTTGATACAGAGTGCAAGCAGGGAAGGGACAAAGAGAGAAAGAGAATACGAAGCAGGCTCTGCGCTGACAGCAGCAAGCCCGATGTGGAGGGTTGAAGTCACAAACTGTGAGATCATGACCTGAGCCGAAGTTGGCCACTTAACCTACTGAGTCACCCAGGCATCCCACGCATTTGTGGAATTTTGGAAACAAAACGAACAAAGGGAAAAAAGGCAAACCAAAAAACACTCTTAACTATAGAGAACAAATTGCCCATTACCAAAAGGGAGGTGGGTGCGGGGATGGATGAAATACGTAATAGAGATTAGAATACACTTATCATGATGCTCACAGAGTAACGTATAGAACTGTTGAATCACTGTATTGTACACCTGAAATTAATATGACTCTGTATGCTAAATATAATAAAATTAAAATAAATAAAAAATTATCAAAATAGAATTCAGGTGGTATGATAAATTGAATGAAGTCTCTCAATCAAGGTAATTCCTTTAATTTCTGGCTCAAGGTAGTTAAAATAATTTTTTTTAAAAACCCTCAGTAGGTGCACATAAACTGTGATGTTGATTTTGGAGGTTGATGAAATTGACAGGTATCAAGTTAGGGCCCTCAAATTTGTCACCATCTGCATATGCTTATAAGTAGTATCATCAAATTGCTTAATGCGGAGTTTTAACTATAACTCATTTGACTTTCATAGATGAAAGTAAATAGAATTTTATGTTCCTATTGAGATGTATGGATCCATATCTGGGGAAAGAAAGTTTTATTTAAATGAAACCATCTACATATACTTTGTATCAAAGATGAAATTACATGTTGCACAGTGTATATTTTTATTTGGCTTTCCTTCTTTTTTTTTTTTTTTAATGTTTTTATTTATTTCTAGGAGAGAGAGAGAGAGAGAGCGTGAGCAGGGGAGGGTCAGAGAGAGAGGGAGTCACAGACTGAAACAGGCTCCAGGCTCTGAGCTGGCAGTCAGCACAGAGCCCGACGCGGGGCTCGAACCCACGAACCGCGAGATCATGACCTAAGCGAAAGTCGGACGCTTAACCGACTAAGCCACCCAGGCGCCCCGATTTGGCTTTCCTTCTTAACTATAAATATCCTTACCAGAAAACTTGTGTGTATCAGAAGGAATTTTGGTATTAAATATGATAATATATTGTTACACTTTTTTTTTTAAGAAAACTTATGTAAGTCTCATATGACATCAGAAGTAATGACATCAATGGGACGCCTGGGTGGCTCAGTCAATTAAGCATCTGACTTCGGCTCAGGTCATGATCTCATGGTTCGTGGGTTCGAGCCCCGCATCAGGCTCTGTGCTGACAGCTCAGAGCCTGGAGCCTGCTTCAGATTCTGTGTCTCCCTCTCTCTCTGACCACCCCCCCCCCTGCTCATGCTGTCTCTCTCAGAAATAAATAAAACATTAAAAAAAAAAAAGAATTAATGACATCAAAATTATTTTGACATCCAGTATGTTGAACACATTATCCTGTTCTCTCCAGGCCTGCAGTGTCCCTGAAATCCATGAATCCCCTTCTAGGGTTTCCCTGGTGTGTGAGGAATTTATTTTCTCTTGCTATTTTTTCTTTATTATTACTATTTTGTATTTTCTGAAGAGTTTGTCAATGTTATTACAGGAGCTTTGGGAGCTAGAAACCTCCCCTGAGCATGGTTGGTTGGTTTGTTTGTTTGTTTGTTTGTTTGTTTTTTAAATAATCTCTACACCCAGTGTGCGGCTCAAACTCAGAACCCGAGATCAAGAGTTGCATGCTCCACCACCTGAACCAGCCAGGTTCCCCTCTCTTACTGGGTTTATTTTTTTATGTTTATTTATTTATTTGGAGAGAGAGTGAGCAGGTGAGAGGCAGAGAGAGAGGGAGAGAGAGAGAGAATCTCAAACAGGCTCCCTGCTTGCTTGTTTTTAAAATATTCTGGTTTTGATTTTAGAACATTTTATTATCATTATTATTATTTTAATAATTTATTTCTTACATCCAAGTTAGCATATAGTGCAACAGTGATTTCAGTAGTAGATTCCTTAATGCCCCTCACCCATTTAGCCCATCCCCCCTCTCACAGCCTCTCCAGCAACCTTCTGTTTGTTCTCCATATTTAAGTGTCTCTTATGTTTTGTCCGCCTCCCTGTTTTTACATTATTTTTCCTTCCTTTCCCTTATGTTCGTCTGTTTTGTATCTTAAAGTCCTCATATTAGTGAAATCATATGATGTTTGTCTTTCACTTAGCATAATACTCTCTAATTCCATCCACATAGTTGCAAATGGCAAGATTTCATTCTTTCTGATTGCCGAGTAATACTCCATTGTGTGTGTGTGTGTGTGTGTGTGTACATGTGTATATACACATCTTCTTTATCCATTCATCCATCGATGGACATTTGAGCTCTTTCCATACTTTGACTATTGTTGATAGTGCTGCTATAAACATTGGGGTGCATGAGCCCCTTAGAAACAGCACACCTGTATCCCTTGGATAAATACCTAGTAGCGCAATTGCTGGGTCACAGGGTAGTTCTATTTTTAATTTTTTAAGGAACCTCCATAAAGTTTTACAGAACAGCTGCACCAGTTTGCATTCCCACCAGCAGTGCAAAAGAGATCCTCTTTCTCCACATCCTCGCCAACATCTGTTGTTGCCTGAGTTGTTAATGTTAACCATTCTGACAGTAGACCATTTTATTGTAACGTGTCTTAGGGAAGATCTTTTTAAGTTGATACTTTTGGGGAACCTATAAGCTTCGTGAAGTTGGATGTCCAAATCTTTCTTTATATTTGGAGAGTTCTTAGTCACTATTTCTTTAAGTTAGCTTTCTGCTCCCTTTTCCCTCTCTTCTTCTGAGACTTCAGTAACGCATGGATCATTTCTCTTAATTGTTTCCCACAGCTCACATAAGGTTTCTTCATTCTTTTTTCTTTTCACTCTTCTGACCAGGTAATTTCAAATGGCATATCTTTAAGTTCACTGATTCCTTCTTCTGCATGGTTGAGTCTGCTGTTGGATTTCCTTATTGAATTTCAATGTATTCAATTCTAGAATTTCTATGTGATTTTTATTGTGGTTTCTATTTCTTTGTTAAACTCATTTTGTTCATACATTATTTTCCTAATTTTGTTTGCTTGTCCGTTTTTTCTTATAGTTCACTAAATTTCTCTAAGAATTATTCTGAATTCTTTGTCAAGCAGTTCATAGATCTCTATTTTTTAGGGGTCTTTTATTAAATCTTCATTAGTTTTCTCTAGTGATGTCATGTTTCCTTGACTATTGTGATCCTTGTGGACTTGTGTTGGTATCTGCACATCTGAAGAAGCAGTCTTTACAGAATGGCTTCAACAGGGAAACCCCTCAGTAGTCAGCCTGGCCAGAGACTCTGGGTGGGCCATGTGGTGGTATCCATGGGAAGGCTTGGTGCTGGAGTCCTCAGGTGGGCCAGTCTGATGCCTGGGTCAGCAGGTAGACAGGCCTGCTGCCTGGGTCCACTGGGAGGGGGCTGGTGCTTGAGTGCATGTGGGTGGGCCTTGGATCCTGGGTCCATGGAGGTAGGTAAGGTGCCATGGACCATGGGAATGGGCCTGACAACCCACTCTGCAAGAGCCAGCCTGACTCTGGTGCTGACTGGGAGCCTGTGTACATGGGACTCAGCCTGAAGCCTGGGTCCGTGAGGGGTTGCTTGGAGCTAGGGTGAACCTGGAGCCTGGGTCCTTGGGAGCTGGCCCAGAGTATGGGGTCATGGTGGCCAGCCTGGCTACATTTCTTAAACAACAGAATCACTATGGAGACTTTGAATGTTTGAGATGGTCAGATCTAGGAGGAATCTTAAGTCTTATCTGGCCAATCCCTTCATTTTAAAGATGAGGAAACTACAGTATAGAAAATAAAATGTCTAATCCAAGATCACTTGGAAAAATAATGACAGAACTGATGTCTCTTGCTCCTATTCCAGTGCTCTTTGATTTATGCTACTCTGTCCCAGCAAAGAATGTTATCTTAAGAGGTAAGTTTTGTAATTAAGTTCTCTCTAAAACTCACGATCTTCAACCTTGATAGATAATCCTTTTGTGGTATAAGTCTTTCAAGCTTCTCTGACATCTTAACCCAATGAGCCTAGTTCTTATTTTCCACTCCCTCCCTATAATTGGTGATTAACATACTATATTCTTTCTAAATATTGCTCTTGGAATCTTTAGACTTATATATATGTTTTTGGAACTTTTGTTGGTTTTGTTTTATGACTAATATTCCTCTTTCTGTTGTAATTTTTTTAGTGCTACATAATTTTATTTACCAAAGTATTGAATGTTTATAAATTATATGTATCCATAACATTAATTGTTAAAATAACTTAGAAAACGAATCTAGTGGAACCATGACCATTATGAATCTACACTTTCTAACTAATTGAGGTGATCACAATACATGTTTCCATTTCCATTATTTGGGACCCAGTTTCGACCTCCTTTATATAAGAGAATCCTAAAATCTGTCCTTTTTCTTTACTTTTGAGAATCTTGTCTTTGGTAATATTCTTCAAGGGTCTTATTTTAACTCCCCTTTGCTGAAAATGACCATGATCTAATTCCAGGATTTTTTCAAGGAGGAAGCACAGAGTAATATTTGATAACTATGTGGGAAAAATTCAATAAAGAGAAGTATAGAATTTGGGAGGCTGGCTTTATCCCAGTCTATATCAGATTAAATGTATGTTGGCGGATGGGGTTGGGGGGGCAGAGGGAGAGACAAGGGAAAGAACCAGTAGCTCTCTATGGAAAGCTTCTCTTCCCACCTTGTCACTACTACCATTTCATCAGAAAATTAGAAAGCAGAGGAGTCACCCATGTTTTCACAAATACTGTCCCTTCAGAGTGCCAGGCCATCACAAAGTTTTGTGTTTCCAGATTCCAAGTGATAGAAACTTCACAGAATTTCTAAAACATAAAGAATCATCGTAGGTGACTAATTTTAGCAATCACGACACTTGGAATTTTAGTGCTGAAGATACTGCTGGTGATGGTTACAATAACCATGGCCCATAAAATAATCCCTGTGATGCAGGAGTTATGATCTACTGAGGAGGATTGATTTTTTTTTTTTTTAAGAAATTCATGTTACTTAACTTGTTTTTATTATGAAAGAATTTTCCATGGTCATTAGATCTAGCATGTGAATTCCTGCTGTTCTCCTGGGACCCAGAAGTAGTTGTAAAGTTATCAGACCAGAGTTTAAAGAGGAAGGCTTAACTTCTTTAGCCATTTCATATGATAAGCTCATTTACCTTCCTGTTTAATTCTGTTTTCTTTGGAGCAAGCCAGGACTTCCAGTTACAGCTAATCCATTTTTCCTTTGGGAGAATCAAGTTTTAGGTCAGGTTTTATACCCACGTACTTTCCTCTAGAGCTTTTTATTAATACTCTTAATCATAATTCTGCAAAATTAAAAAAAGAAGATGGTGTGTGTGCACTAACAGAAGCATTCAGGTGACAGCACAGTTTAATGAGGACAAATCCTTGTGGTTCTAGGTGGGTTTTTTTTTTTTTTTGGCATATAATTGGTTTTATTTGAAAATGTTATGGTCAACAGGCACAGTTATCTTTTTTTTTCTTAAATAGTTTATTGTCAAATTAGTTTCCACATAACACCCAGTGCTCATCCCCACAAGTGCCCTCCTCCATGCCCATCCCCCCTCCCCCCACATCCATCAGTCCTCAGTTTTTGTCAGCATTCAAGAGTCTCTCACGGTTTGCCTCTCTCCCTTTCCCCCACCATTTCCCCCCTTCTCCCCCTTGTTCCTCAGCTAAGTTCCTCCTAATCCTCCTATACGTGCAAACATATGATATTTGTCCTTCTCTGCTTGACTTATTTCACTCAGCATAACACCCTCAAGGTCCATCCACGTTGCTACACATGGCCAGATTTCATTGTTTCTCATTGCCATGTAGTATTCCATGGTATAGATAAACCACATCTTCTTGATCCATTCGTCTGTTGATGGACACTTAGGCTCTTTCCATGTTTTAGCTATTGTGGAGAGTGCTGCTATGAACATTGGGGTACATGTGCTCCTATGCCTCAGCATTTCTGTATCCCTTGGGTAAATTCCTAGCAGTGCTATTGCTGGGTCATAGGGGAGTTCTGTTGTTAGTTTCCTGAGGAACCTCCACACTGTTTTCCAGGGGGGGTTTCCAGTTTACATTCCCACCAACAGTGTAGGAGGGTGCCCATTTCTCCACATCCTTGCCAGCATCTAGAGTCTCATTTCAGCCACTCTGACTGGCGTGAGGTGGTATCTCAGTGTGGTTTTGATTTGTATTTCCCTAATGAGGAGGGATGCTGAGCATCGTTTCATGAACAGAGACAGTTATCTTAAGATACTCCACCATGATGAAAACATGTCCTAACAGGCATTTTATTTACTTCTTAAAAGGACTGTCTTCAGGAGACACCACGCCTTTAACACATGACAGCGCCCTGAGTGCCTCCGCACATGCTGTCAGTGACGAAGAGTCTGTGGAAGTAAATGCAAATGATCCAGCAGAAGCCCCAAAGCTCGTTCTTCAGTATCTGTTCTCACTCATCCAAGGTGAAGTGGAGCAGGTGGATTCAAGAGCACTTCCCCTCTGCCTTCACCAGGTACTCCATTACACCCTTCACTTCCGGCCTCGCTGTTCATAATCATTTAAGATCCAGTTCTGTGTGACTGATTCTCCCGCACCTGTCGTTGGTGAGCCCTGGAGGCAGTCCTGCGTCAGCAGTTGGTGGGGAATTTAGTGTGCTACTCCTGGTGGCCACACACTGGCCGTGAATGATCAATCCGTAGTTCAGATAATCAGTGACTTCCTTTATTTGGTGAGTCAGCTGTGTACGAATAAGAGTCAGTGTAGCAAGCACTTAGTAAGGTCCAACTAGATGCCAAAAACTCTGCTAGACACAGGGAACAAAGGTTACTTCACAGAGTATGTCCTTAGACAGCCACTGTGGAGTAGGAGCGACACTTATACAGATAAACAATTGTAGAAGCATGTACTAAGTTTAGACACATATCTGAGATTCACAACACGTGTGATTAACTATGTTCCGTGGGCATTAGCAGAAGGGAAGGTGACTCTCGAGCTGGGGTTTGCAGAGTATGTAGGTGCTCAACAGGGTGACTCGTTCAGGAAGAGAGAGCAGCTCCCTCAAAGGCATGGCTGAGATATTGTTGGAGTAGAAGATGGAAAAGAGATGGGAATTGACAGTGGATAGTGGAGGGCAGTGAGGCCTTACTTTTAGGGATGGGGAGTCCTTAACGAGGGGACTACCAAATCACATTTGAATTTTAATGTTAATTTTTTTAAGAGAGAGACAGAAAGAGACCATGAGTGGAGAAGGGGCAGAGAGAGAAGGAGACACAGAATCCAAAATAGGCTCCAGGCTCTGAGCTGTCAGCACAGAGCCCAACATGGGGCTCAAACTCACAAACTGTGAAATCATGACCTGAACCAAAGTCTGACGCTTAAGCGACTGAGCCCCCAAGTGCCCCTCAGATTTGAATTTTAGAAAAATAACTGTGCTGATGATTGGGAGGGTCAGTTAGGAGAAGAAGAGCGTAGCTGATGGAAGGCATTCTAGACACTAGAGAGGAAGCTTTTTTCCACAAGAGCTAATTCAGAAAAATGAGATACGAGCTGCATTTTATATTTTCTTTAAAGTGAAAATAATAAAATAATGTAGAAACTGAGACTCCCTCACAAAGCAAGCTCCTTATAATTCTGGGGTCAGAATTTATTTTTTTCATTCAGAGCATCTGTTTTTGGAACATCATGGGAGAAATTTGAACACAGCCTGTGTGTTAAATAATATTATTTATTGCTCTAATTTCTTGAGACTAGTAATAGAAATTTTTTCTTTTTTTTTTTTTAATGTTTATTTATTTATTTTTGAGAGTGAGAGAGCGAGCGAGCAAGGGAGGGGTGGGGAGAGAGGGAGAGAGAATCCCAAACAGGCTCCACACTTTCACCACAGAGCCATATGTGGGGCTTGAACTCACGAACTGTGAGACCTTGACCTGAGCCAGAACCAAGAGTCAGATGCTCGACCGACTGAGCCACCCAGGCACACCCCCCCTTTTTTTGTCTTTTTGTTTTTGGTAATAGAATTGTAGGTTTTGCAGTATAGCGCCCTTGTTCTTGACAGGTACATGCCCAAGCATTTGGGAGTAAAATGACATGGTGCCCATAATACGATATTTTCACTTCTCATTACGTATGACATTTCAGTAGGAAAAAAGTATTTAAGAGAGGGAAAGACAGGCAGAGAAAGCAAATTTGGCAAAATGTCAACATTTGACAGTTCTAGTGAGAGGTAAATGGCTGTTGATTTTACTCTTCTTTGAACTCTTCTGTAGAATTTCGATAAAAAGTTGAGGAAAAGGACATTTGGAGTAAAGAAGGAAATAGCAAATGTAGTCAAATCTTTTCAAGGAGTTTATGTCACTGGGCTGTTATTACATGAAAGGTAAGAAGAATGCTCTTTTCTACTGGTATGTATCCTGCCGCCAAAGCGGTTCCAGTACTGCTAGATCTTGATCAGGCCTCAGGATTATTTTTTAAAAAATTAGGTTTGTTTCTTTGCTTATTTATTTGTTTGTATCTTTATTTATTTATTTTGTAATCTCTACACCCAGTGTGGGGCTCAAAGCTACGACTGTGAGATCAAGAGTCGCGTGATCTTCCGACTGGGCCAGCCAGGCGCCCCTTATTTAAATTTTTGACGTCTCAGAGTAAACTTCCACCCCTAGTCCCCCAGGAACATACCAGTTTGCTGAGTCCTGTAGTCATGCTTCTTAAGTGTCTCAGCAATCTGTCCTCCCCTGACAGAGGGCCTTAGGGAACATGGTGGTGGTTTAAAAGCAGGGCTTGGGACTCCCCCACTAACCGTCTCAGTGGCGTTCAGTTTCTTCCGTAAAGTGGTGGAGGGCTAAATGAAATAATGCACATGAAAGCACTTAACAAAGAGCCGGGTACGCAGTAAGAGCCAAGTAAATACTGGGCATTAGGACTGTACTCTCACTGTCGCTAATTCCAAGATTGCCTGCTCGGAGTGAGGGCTGGGGGTCGGCAGAGATGCTGAGGCAGCAGGAGTGAGCTGCTGGCTGCTGCCTCAGCCCAAGAATACTTGACTCCGTCGCCTCCCAAGGGGGACACAAATCGGGGACAGATGGAAGCCGTTTCATCCACCTCAGCAGCTCCCAGCATCACACATTGTGTCTTTCACCTGGAGTTGTTAGTTGTTGACATTTTGCTGAATTTTCATGTCTCCCATTACCTACCGACATGTATTTGCTGCTGAAACACGTGAACGTTTAGGTATTGTATCACATCACCCCTAAGTACACGCACACGTGTTTCCCCACCCATGGACCCCCCTCTACGAAACCTGTGTCAACCACAAGGAACAAGGTGCCGGTAAAACAGTGTTATTTAATGTACAGCCTATATTTGAATTCTCAAGTTGTCCCACAAACAACTAGTTTTCCCCGAATCCAGGATCCCATGAAGGACCACACATTATTACATTCGGTCGTCAAGACTGTTTAGTTTTCTGTGATCTGAAACAGTCCCTGCCTTTTTTCCTTTTCTTTTTTTTTTTTTTTTTAAATGTTTTTATTTCTGAGAGAGAGAGAGAGACAGCATGAGCAGGGGAGGGTCATAGAGAGAGGGAGATACAGAATCTGAAGCAGGCTCTAGGCTCCAAGCTAGCTGTCAGCACAGAGCCTGACACGGGGCTCGAGCCCACAAACCGTGAGATGATGACCTGAGCTGAAGTTGGATGCCCAACCGACTGAGCCACCCAAGCGCCCCTTTTCTTTTTTTAACTTTCGTATAACATTGACCCTTTAGAAGAGCCCAAGACTTCTTTTAGAATGTCCCATAATTAGGATTTTTCTGATTATTTCTCCATGGTGTGATTCAGTTTAAAACATTTTGGACAAGGATCTGCTTGGGTAACATTCTGTACCCATTTCTCTCTTGAACCCAGTCCGGTCTGGCTTTTGTCCCCACAGTCCACAAAAATGACATTCTGAAGGTCATAGGTGGCCTCCACATGGCAAATCCAGTGGTCAGTCCTCAGTTTCCGTCCTGCTGGAGGCATGAGAAGCTTTGACAGGTTGATCACATACTCCATTTTGAAGCACTTTCTTTATTTGCCTTTTGGACCCTTGCTTCTTGGCTTTCACGTCTTGCCTCACTAGCCACGCTTTCTCTGGCTCATTTGTTGAGTCCTCCAAATATTACTGTTTTCAACATTGTAGCACTTTCAGTAGGCAGTTCTGACCTCCAGACTTCAATATCCAGCCTCCTGATATCTGACCTCCTATCTAAAGAGCACTTCAATCTGAAGATGTCCCAAATCATGCTTCAATTTTTCTTCCAAATCTTCTGCTTTCCTAGTCTTCCAGACCCTTTTGTTAAACGGCAGCTCCATCCCTTTAGTTGCTGAGTCCAAATACTTTGAAGCCAACTTTGTTTACCTCCCCCTACATCCAGTTCAGTCAGTAAGTGCTGGAGACCTCTTTCCACACATCCCCGGAATCTGAGCCCTTCTTCCCTCTGTCCTTGCCCCCTCCCCAGTACAGGATACCATCGCATCTCACCTGGTTCTTGCAGTGAACCCTTCACTGGAGAAACCCTGTCCTCTCACTCTTCCATGTCATCGTTGTCCTCTGTACAGCGGTCATTGTGACCCAGAGAAAATGCGTCACATCATGTCAGTCCTCTGCTCGGAGCCCTCTGGTGGCTTCTCATCAGAGTAAAAGCTAAAATCCCTGCATGGCCTACAAGACCCTGCACGGTGTGGTGCTGTTGTGTGGGACACCTCATCTCCTGGAACTCTCCCTTTTAGTCACCCCTTTCCAGGCACGCTTGCCTCCTGGTGGCTCCTCAGATGCCCAGGGATGCTCTTACTTCAGGGCCTCTGTGGCTCCCTTCTGCCGTTTCTGAGGAAGCCACTAGGGGCTGCTCCGAAACCAAGGACTAAACCAAGGAGCAGGATGTGAGATAGTGGAAATTGGGGATCCTGCCTAGGAGAGAGGCGAAGGGAGTCTGTAAGTGAAGGAATATTCCAAGTTGACAGCTTTGTACCGAGGACAGTAACCAGTTCCATTTGGAGGAACAAACAGTCTGGGGAGAGACTTCTATATCATTTTTCCTATTTCTGACTATTTGCTGTATCTGAATGTATCGAGGGCAGATTTAGACTCTTGATGATGTGTTTGGAATTGTCTAAGTGATGAGTGCATGGAAAACTATGCCTCCCCCAACAAAAAAGTAGGAGGGAAAATGAAAGAAAAAAGTAACTCCAGGGAAAACAAACGGTTTTCAGGAAGGGAAAAGTAGTAAGAGTTTACGATCTGCATAGACTCATGATAAGGTGCACATTAGATGTTATCTACCCGTGACCACAGGGTAACAGTGTGGGGCGGGGGAGGCTGACAGCATGTACATGTAGAGTATGTTTGCAGGGCTGTGCCAGGGGGTGCAAAAGACTCAGTCCTCATCTTCTAAAACTGAAAAATCCAGAAATGCCCAAAATAGGCATAATGTTTAGGGAGACACAGATTAAAAGAAAAAGAAACCAGAAGAACTCTAAATGCTTGCTAGCGAAGAAAGGAGAAAAGAGCAAGGGGCAGAGCTCTGTGAGCACATATCATAGGGCTGTGTGACTCCATACACCACAGGCAGGAGCAGTTTTCATGAAGTAACTGAAGGGAGACACTGATCATTGAAACAGAAGGTGAGGACGGCCTGTGGGTTTTGGTGGTGGATAAGGAGAGGGATGGATTGCAGTCCTCTTGAGGGGGCAATCACTAGGACTTGGGGTGGGTACGAAAGTGGATGAGAGAAGTCAGACATGACGAGGAGACAAGGCTGGGCGAGTGGGGGCACCATGAACAGAAATGAGGTCTTGGAGAGGGAGAGTCCATTGGGGACAGTTATATTTTAGAAGTGATATATCACCGAATATGTGCTAAAGGCCGTTGGAAACATAACTGCAATTACATCAGATATATCCTTGTATTTTTAGCTCTTGAAACTCTTTTTTTTTTTTTTTTTTTTTAAATGTTTTATTTATTTCTAGGAGAGAGAGAGAGAGAGCGAGCGTGAGCAGGGGAGGGTCAGAGAGAGAGGGAGTCGTAGACTGAAACAGGCTCCAGGCTCTGAGCTGGCAGTCAGCACAGAGCCCGACGCGGGGCTCGAACCCACGAACCGCGAGTACATGACCTAAGCGAAAGTCGGACGCTTAACCGACTAAGCCACCCAGGCGCCCCTAGCTCTTGAAACTCTTGAAGATTCCACTTAAAAATCCGTGTTCTTGGTATGAGTAATCTTTCATACACTTAGTTAATATGACTGCAGGCTAGCTCTAAGTATATAACTGAAGTCATAAACTTGGACACTTTTCATATGGAAGTGAGAAGGAAAACATCAGGCGTGGTACTCTGTGCTTGTGAGTTGGTACTGAAGCTGGTGTCAGACTCAGGCAGGAAATACATCTGCTGGGACCCTTGAAGTCAGTCTCTGTGACTAGGGTCAAAACATACACCTTCCTACTTCCCTTTTCTAGTTCCTGGTTAGTGACTTGAAACTGTTGCCCTCCCAAAGTTGTTTTCAGCTTACTTCTTCACACAGTTCTACTCTCGTCTTGCACTCCTGGTTCACACTCAGACTCAAAAACCATTTTCAGCACTTACTGCTGTGTGCTGGCCGCTACGCTCAATACGTACTCCCTCATTAATCTGCACAGCAGCATAGCAGCCGTGTGTCTGAGGAATTGTAGGTATTATTGTCCCTGCTGTACAGATAAGGGAAGCTGAGGCTTGAGACATGAAGTGCCGAGTCTGTCCAAGGTCACATGGCCAGCAGTAGCAAAGCTGGGACCAGAACGCAGGCCGGTTACTCAGCTCCACACCTCATGTTCTTTCTGCCCCTCCAGGCTGCCTCCCAGGTTTAGACCTGGGGCATCAAAGAAAATCCATCTTCTCTTGGCCTGTGGACTTGCCAGGGGCGGGTTTCTACAGGGGAAATGCCTTGTGTATGTGTTTTCCCAGATGCCCCTTCACCAGGAAATGCCTTTTACTTGTGAGGCATTGGGTCTCGTGACCCCCTCTCTGTGGTTGCTTTTATGGTATTGGAACTGTCACAGAAATCTGCAAGCTCATTGAAATGTATATTTCTGTAGTGCCAGAAAGTCTGGTTTATAAGAGTATGCAGCTTTTCATAAACGACTGTGTGCCAATGGTGCACAAATGCAAACAGCCAAGGAGAGTATCTTTGAAGAGCCAGAAATCTAATCTTAATGGACACCCTGAGAGTGTGTGTTGGATGTGATGGATAGTAGATTTTTCCCTGGAGGTCGATACATGAAATGTCCCTGATCACTGTTAGTTGTAACCCAGCGGTGCTCACCACTATTAGGTGTAACCCAGCGACCACTGCCTTGTGAGAACCATATTCAGCGACGTTCATCTTGTTGGGAATTCACTTGGCTGTGATGGAAGTATTGACACCCTAGAAATGAGCAAATGCTACAAATCAGGGCTCTTCCTGGTACCCAAGGGCAGAGGTTAAACTTGGAGCAGCACACTCCTGGTTGTAGTGTATGGAACTCCTGTTTTGTAAGTAAAGTATGGTCGAATACAGTCAATCTGATGTGGTTTCAATAGGATTGTTACACTGTTAGGTTGCTCTGAGCTAATGAAGATGAGCAGTTCATCCTGTGCAGAGTCCTCAGAATAGAAAATAAGTGTGGACTCAAGCTTTAGGTTAAACTAAAACTTGACAGAGAAGTGATTGAGTCCAGTTACGTATATTGCTCGTAGAAAAATGTTAGAGCTATTGTATGAATTTTAAGCTAAGCAAATATTTTCCTTTAAAAGTATGCTGTTTCCACCATAGGATTTGGGGGGAAACGTTCCTTTTTGTTGCTTGACGATAGGTTTGACAAGGACTTCATTGCTCTTTGCATTGGCAGAGAGCTGGAAAATGAAGATAGGGATCTGTAAATCAAATACCTTTTTTAACTAGAGACTTAGTAAGCATGAAACTGTTTTAAAAGTGCAAAGTATTTATGTGAAATACTCTAAATATGGCAACAGTCAGTTTATGCAAATATTTCTCAGTGATTACTTTCAGTTTTACTGTTCTATTCATTAATGCCGTGTCTAAATAAAGATCCCCACAGTTTTAGAATCCAAGAATTTTTCTTTTTTTTTTCTTTTTTTTTTTTTTAACATTTTTATTTATTTCTAGGAGAGAGAGAGACAGCGTGAGCAGGGGATGGTCAGAGAGAGAGGGAGATAGAGACTCTGAAATAGGCTCTGGGCTCTGAGCTGGCAGTCAGCACAGAGCCCGACGCGGGGCTCGAACCCACGAACCACGAGATCATGACCCAAGCGAAAGTCGGACGCTCAACCGACTAAGCCACCCAGGCGCCCCTAGAATCCAAGAATTTTTCAATTTAAGTATGCATTAGAATGAATCTGGTAACTGATGGGCCTTGACTTGGTCTGGATCCTGAGGCTCAGGACCCCCTATCCAGTGCCCTTTATACCGTGTGGCCTTTTATTCCTGACATCATTGCTCAACCATTAGCACTATTGGCCTTTTGTGAAATATCAAAAGAGAACCAGAAGTCAGTGTCCCATGGGGTAGTTTGTGAAATACAAACGAGTCTCATGTGACTTGACACATTTTCACTTTTTGATTTATAATATATAGTCACTCTTTCCCTCGTGTTGTATCTTTATAAGCCTAGGTAGCGTTTTCCTCATTCTTTAGAGTTCTTCTAAACTCTGATGAATCAGTGAAGTTTGCTTTGATGTGAAATAGAATAGAAAAGAGGTTGTATAAAGACTAAAGAATGTGTCTGTTTACACTGCTTGTGATAAGCAACCTCATTGATGTGTCTCATGCCTGCAGGCAGGTTTCTTCTCACCTGGTGAATAAGAGTTTTCATAGTTTGATGTCAAAGACTTTGAGAGTGTCAAGGTCTTGATTTTTTCCAGCTTTGCCTTTTCCATCCAAATATGAATCTAATTTCCTGTCTTTGTTTGTTTGTTTGTTTGTTTTAACAGATAGCAGAGTCGTATTTCCAGGAGGAAGACTGTATCCTTTTCTTAATTACAGGAAGAAATTCATATGACTCAGACGGAACTGCCCATGTTTTTAAAATGGAAATTTACATACAAAAGAATGTTTATTTCTGTTGTTTTCAGTGGGTTTTAAAATCTATGTCCACCCATGTAACCACCTCAGAAAGCAACATGTATAGAATTTCTGCTACTATAGAAAATTCTCTCTAGAACCACCCAAATTTGACCTGCCATGTAGAAGCCCAATTTTACTGTAATTTCAATATTTGTATGTTTGGGGGGTAGGGGGGAACACATTGCTGAAAAATATAATTTAAAATCCACTGGATTTTCTTTCTTCTGAATTAAAACAGAAGTCCAAGTCAAGTGATATTCCTATGGTCATACTACACATGGTAAATCTCATGACTTTCTTCTTATAACTTTTAGCTGCAAAAGGAAATTTGAATTCTTCATTTGTGATAGACACAGGAGAAATGCTATCAAATGAGACCACCTATGAGCTCAGCTTTTGTATAGCTTTTTCCTATTTTCCTCAGCCATTTGGCCTTTTTATAAATGCCTTCTCTTATTCAGGGATGGCCCAGTATCTACTCTCTAGAAAGAATGTGCCTAAAGTCACCTATATTTCCCCATCTGTGTGATTTGTTTCTCCTCCTAACCTTGTTGACTTTCACTACCTCTCTGAGCAGATCGTGGGAGAAGCAGTATTATCCTGAACCCTATCAAACAAACTGGTGACTTCAGACAGTGGCAGTTCATGACCAAGTATGAAGGAAATCTAATTCTGGTGGAAATGAAGCTAGAACACTTTTCCAGCCCAGTAACAAGTGCTTTGTTAGTGCAGCGCAGACCAGCACCCACATCTCGGGGAGCCTCATAGTATACAAATCCACAGGCCTGAGAATCCGAGCTTCTGGAAATCAGACCCTGGAATATGCATTCTGGCAAGTTTTCCAGATAATGTTTACACCCAGTAAAGTTTGAGAAACATTGGTAAACTTTAGGGCAGAGGGAAATGAAATCACCCTGCTTCCCCCTGGCCCACTTTGTGATCCCCAGTGTAAGGTCGAGGACGAACCTCCGTTATTAGGCAAAGAGCTAAACGGAGAGTTTTTTCTCTTCCTTCCTTCCTTCAGGGTCAACATTTAGAACATGGCCCAAAGAAAGAGAGACAGTTGGACAATTTATCACGACCTCATATTATGTTAAGTGTGTGATACAGATGGAGAAGGCAGAAGTAGAGTAGAATCACGCAATTCTGAGAATCACTCTGGCCAGTTGGGTAAATTTCTACAAAAGACCCATATAATGTGCTCTGTCCTTGTTCAGGCATGTAACCCTTTGGTGTTGTGGGAGAACAGGCTTCAGTGAGAAATAAATAGAGGGCCAAGGTGAGTTGGAGTCAGGAACACATTTGACTGACAGGGTAGCGCAGTTGCTTGACAGAAAGTGATTTAAGGGGGAAGAAATGAGAAACACTTAGATTCTAGGATTCCCTGTGGGTCCTATTTCCAATTAAATTACTTTTGATTGATTCTGCTAGCGATCTGTTCACAAGCAGGCATTCCTTGAACATCAAAACCTTCCTCTAGTTTCTGTTTGCTGCTGGAATGGAACCCACGCAGCTGTGGCATCCCATACTGTATGAGAATTCACCTACTCCAGAACCAGAAAGCCCTACTTAACAAGATTTGTTTAAACTTAAAAAATTTTTAGAGGCCCTTCATTTTTTGGTAAGCTCCAAATTTCACAATTTGTATAGGACATTCTTTTTCAGATATGAGGCTAAATGTAAAGAGTCCGGATTTTTGTTTTCCTCAAATTTTCTATTCAGATGAGAAAGCAATGAAATTCATTCAGCTTGAGCGACTGTATCATGAGAAATTGCTCGCAAATCTCTCTGCCATTCAAGAAGAATGGGGTAAGTCCAGACAGACATGGGATGTGCAATTATCAGTCATCTAGCATGTTCCTATCTAGAAATTTAACATATCTGACCTGGTTTTGCAAGTCAGGAAATAGGTGTTTCCAGTCAAGTCCACGTTGCAAAGAAAGTGGCATTTTTACCACAAATCACTGCCACTGTGAGAAAATTTCTCTCTTTGTATTTTGCTTTCCCTGTCAACGGCAAGAAAAGAACACTGACAACTCTACATTTCTTCTGCTGCCTTGGCATGCCCTGGTGGCTAATTTCGTCTCCAGGATAGTATTTACTCCTCCTGAAAAGTAATCACTTAGCTGTTTGTAACAGTGTTAACTTGGGTTGTGTGAGAAGATTGCGGGATGATCTTTATCAGCAGCACCAGCTAACAACTTTTGCCCTCCTAAATATGTTTTGTAACAGGCAGTAATTAACAAATATCTTACTTTTAGAAACAAAATGGAAAACTGTACAGCCACCTACAGTTCCATCTCTAAGGAATTCAGAAAAAGGATTTAATGGTGAAGATTTTGAACGGCTTACCAAATTTTGCTCAACACATCAAGAGTGAGTACATGAGGGTTTGTGTAGAATGAGTTGGAGGAGAGTATTGAAGAAGATTGTAGCACTGAGTGTTTGAAATCCATGATCTGTTGTTTATTTCTCTGTTGATATTTTCAGCTGGAGAAATTAAAACAGTAAAATAAAATGATTAGGTTTCTTTCTCAGCTTCCATCTCAGTTTCTTAGCCTGAGCCCTGTAATGAAAGTTCAACTTTACATAAGTTCAAAGCACCTTCTAATCAGAAATTGTAAATTATCACGTCTAATTTTGGTCTCTTTTTGGTTAAGAGATTAGGTGATTCAAATGGAAAAAAGCATGTATTAGGATTTTTTATTGTAGTTGTTTGCCAGTGTTTGTACATTGTAGTAAAAACACATTTGTAAGATTTCTCTAATAGTGGGAAGCAGAAAGAGTACAATATTTAACTAATTGTTACAATATTCAGAAGCTGAAAGGTTCCATTCTGTTGATAACTTTATCTCCTTTTCCTCCAGAATCACAAAGAGTAAACTGAAACTCAGGTTGTTAATAATGCAATAGACCCAACTAATTGTTGTTTAGCTCCTATATCGGATAGTTGCTTCAGGGTCTGATTATTTTGGAGATCAGGCTCTGAAGAATCACTGTGGATTCAGAAATGATGCTCATTCACCTCTCGTGATAACAGTTGTCTTCAGTTCATTTGAACCTTTGAAATAGTATTTTTAGGGACTCTGCATTATAACCCAGTTTCATACCATATTATAAATAGATCAACTTTCACTTCATAGAGGTTTAAAATAATGGAATCTTTACAAATAGGTAAAGAAGTTGTTTGTTTGATTTAACAAGGCACTACATGTGGCAATCTGTCTTTTTTTTTTTTTTTATGTTTGTTTATTTTGAGAGAGAGCACTCATGTGCACAACCAGGGGAGAGAGGGAGAAAAAAAATCCCAAGCAGGCTCCACACTGTCAGAGCCGAGCCCAACATGGGGTTCTAACTCACGAGTCAGATCATGACCTGAGCCAATATCAAGAGTCAGACACTTAACCAACTGAGCCACCCAGGTGCCCCAGGAAATTGTTTTCTTACTTTCAAAATATTCAGTATAGACACTTTCCCTGCTTTCCCATGGAACTAATACTTTTTAGTGTGTTGCCAATGTTTTCATTATTTAAAATTTTTTTGGTGTTTATTTTTGAGAGAAAGAGAGTGAGGGGGGGCAGAGGGAGACAGAGGATCCAAAGTGGGCTCTGCACTGACAGCAGACAACCTGACACGGGGCTCAAACCTACGAATCAAACATCATGACCTGAGCTGAAGTCAGATGCCTAACTGACTGAGCCCCACAGGCACCCCAGATGTTTTGATTATTTAAAAACAAATATTTCTTGGGACCCCTGGGGGGCTCAGTCAGTTGGGCGTCCGACTTCGGCTCAGGTCATGATCTCACAGTCTATGGGCTCGAGCCCCGCATCAGGCTCTGTGTTGGCAGCTCGGAGCCTGGAGCCTGCTTCAGATTCTCTCTCTCTCTCTCTCTCTCTCTCTCTCTCTCTCTCTCTCAGAAGTAAATAAAACATTTAAAAAAAAAAAAAAAGAAAAAGAAAATGATTTTTAATTCCATACACATTGAAGTGCGTAGGCTCCGTGAGGTTTTACATTTACATATTTGTCTATGGAACTACTGCTCTGACCAGGATACCAAATAGCCCCGCCCCTCACAACGCTCCCGCATACAGGTACCAAGTCAGTACCCCCCGCAAGTAACCACTGTCTAAGTTCTGTGGCAGTATATTTGCCTGTTCTATAATTCTGAAAATGTAATCAAACAGAATGTAGATTTTTGTATTAACTGCCTTTGCCTATCACTGTGTTATGTCTGCCTTACATGTTGATGCATGTTACTGGTGATCTGCTCAGTTTTATTCCTGTTTGGATTTGCTGTATGGGTAGCAATTCATTTGTCCATTATACTGTTGATACACATTCAGACTGTTTCTGATTTTTGAATATTTGAATAAAATGGCTGTATTTTTGTGCATACCTTTTCTGTGGACATATCCCTTCTGTTATCTCTGGTATTCCCTAAAATAATTCTTTCAAAATTACCTTTTTTGTTACCTGTAATGCTAGTAAAATTATTTTCCATCATAACCTATTTCAGACTATAATGACATAAACTGAAATTTGAAAAACATGTGTGTGAAATACTCTTTATGCTATTAGCAGAATGTTGACCTTTTTCTCCCGGGATCTCAGCTTCCTTGGGGGTTTTCAGTAGTATTTGCTTATCTAAGAGCTAACACACGATATAGCTGCCCTTTGAACTGTGTGAACCAGTGGTAATGTTTCAGCAGTGGAAATGTTCTGCACTAATTTTAGAATCCAGAGAAGCTATATTTTATTTTTACAGCCATTTCAGTGACATTTGTTTGGAAGAGTATTGCTGCTGCAATTTTTAAAAAATCTTTTTTTTCTCTTTTCTTCTACAGTCCTGTTTTATCCAAACATAAGGTAAGAGACAGTTTCCTCGAAAATATTGACGGGAAAAATGTTAAGTGGCCTATGTCTGTTGTATGGACTGTTGGGGAAATAATAAAACCCTTCTCAGATTATTTTCAAATTTCTAAATTTAATGCAGCAGTTTCCCCAAAAGTTTTTTTTTGTGTTTTTTTTTTTTTAACTCTTTAGAGAGCAGCCATAGAAAAGCCTCTGGGAAGGAAATGCTTTACTCCCTTAATAGTTTCTGAAGATCCAAATGAAAGCGGAGCCACAGCCAAAGAGCCGGGTATGTTCTTGCATTTAGAGAGGGACGTGAGGGACGCCTGCCTCTCACAGTTTACAAGTGTTACAGGGACTGTTTTTGCATTTCCTTTTTTTTTTTTTTGCATGCGTTTACCTCTCTTACCAGACAAATTGCAAAGTGAAATTTTTTTTATATTGTGTAACTCTATTTTTAGATACCTAGTCATAGAAATTACAACATCTAAATTCGTATAAAAACATAAAGTTATTTCCATGTGTTCAGTAGGTAGTTGTATATATCTAACAGATTGTAACAAAACTGTACAAAAATTCTCTGAAACAGAGTTAGTTTTGGCATATTTGCACACCCTTTTTTGTTTAAAAACCAACAATTATTATACTTTACCAGAAATGTGTGCTGTGAATCTAGACATTTTAAGAACTCTTGTTTCTTCGTAATTCACCTATAGTTCCTTTTTTTAATTGTCTAACACATGGTGTACTTTAATTTCCATGTGTACATTTTTGAAGTATTTATGATATATTTTATACCAGTTGGTGCCTCATGCCAGAAGTTAAAAGATTTTCAGGAACTCTTTCTTACAGTATTAATGTATGTTTGCCATAAAAACTTAGAAAATAAAGATAAATAAATTTGGGGGTGTTTCTTTTTCCTGAAGTATGATTTTAGTACTGATTTATGGGCTGAGGCTTTATGTCCCTGGGCCTGTTTGCCCTGCTTGTAAACAGGCGGCATCAGGTGTTTTGATGGAGTTGCCTGAAGACATAGAAGGAGGAAGAACGGGAGGGGGGTGCAGGGGAGGGGGAGGACGCTGCCTTCTGTTGAATTTGCCTTTCTCTCTTTACAAAGCCTTCCCCCCCATATCTTTATCCCCTTTTCTTCATGAGGTGAATTTGGGATGTTACCTTAGGTCATTCCTACTATATACTCTGTTCTTCCTGTCTCCTCATCTTTTTTTTTTTTAAGAATTAGATTTTTCTCCAAATAAAAATTTATTTTATATTTTGCATTTTTATTTAAAAAATATTTTGAGTTTATTTTTTGAGAGAGATGGAAATAGTACAAGTAGGGGAGGGGCAGAGAGAGGGAGACAGAGAACCCCAAGCCCAGTGCGGGCCTTGAACCCACGAAACTGAGAAATCATGACATGAGCTGAAACCAAGAATCAGATGCTTAACCAGCTGAGCCACCCAGGCACCCCCTCTATTTTACATTTTTAAATGCAAACTTCTTTTCCTACTTTTCATCCCTGATCTTTTTTAAAAAATACATATATCCGGGGCGCCTGGGTGGCTTAGTCGGTTAAGCGTCCGACTTTCGCTTAGGTCATGATCTCGCGGTTCGTGGGTTCGGGCCCCGCGTCGGGCTCTGTGCTGACTGCCAGCTCAGAGCCTGGAGCCTGTTTCAGAGTCTGTATCTCCCTCTCTCTCTGACCCTCCCCTGCTCACGCTGTCTCTCTCTCTCCTAGAAATAAATAAAAAAATATTAAAAAAAAAAATACATATATCCTACAAGTAAGTACCTGATTTTTTTTTAGTATACTTGACACAGAATGTTACATTAGTTTCAGGTGTACAACATATTGATTCAACAGTTCTATACATTATGCTGTGTTCACCGCGAGACTAGCTACCATGCGTCATCATACAGCACTATTATTATAGTACCATTGACAATGTTACCTGTGCCGTGCCTTTTGTTCCTTCAACTTCTTCATTACGTAACCCGAAGCCTGTGTCTCTCACCCCCCCTTCACCCATTTTGCCCAACCTCCCACCTTCCTCCCCTTTGACAACCACTGGATTATTCTCTGTATTCATAGGTCTGATTCTGCTTTTGTCTGTTTATTCATTTGATTTTGTTTTTTTTTTAGATTCTACATGTGAGTGAAATTATACAGTAGTTGTGTTTGTCATTCTGATTTATTTCATTTAGCACAGTACCTTCTGGGTCCATCCATGTTGTTGCAAATGGCAAGGTCTCAATCTTTTAATGGCTGAGTAATATTCTCCTATGTATATACACCACATCTTCTTTATCCATTCATCTATCAGTGGGCACTTGGGTTCCTTGCATATCTTGGCTTTCGTAAAGAATGCTGCGATAAACATAGGAGTGCACGTCTTTTCAAATTAGTGTTTTCATTTTCTTTGGGTAAATACCCAGTGGTGGAATTCTTGGATCATATGGTAAATCTATTTGTAATTTTTTGAGGAACCTCCATACTGCATACCACAGAGGCTTTCTCTTCTTTTTGGAGCATTTTATATTGGAAATCGTAGTACAACGAGCTTTATAAAGATCTTAAAGAGGAGAAATTCACAAATAGCCACCCAGTTTGGATGTAGATGTGTCCCCGTGGCCTGGTGTCTGGGAACAGTGGTGTTACTTGCTGACTGACTTGACCAGTGAGCACTGGTTGCCAGGCTCAAGGTCAAGCTCGGCACTACTTGTACGTCATCGTCTGCCGAGAGATAACGTGGTGCAGATGAGGTGACGCTGAGCTACCACATTTAAGTCACTCGCTTGTGCTTTGATTCACAACTAGAACCCGGGTCTTCTGGTTTCTGACTGGACACAGCATCCTTCTGCATCTCAGAGACTCTCACAGTGCAGACCCCTCACTGACCTCCATCTGATGAGGAAGGTGTGCAGGAAGTTCTGGGGAGAGAAGTCTTGCCAAGTCCAATGAAACACTACCTTTTAAAGAATCAAGTCCAGGTGCCTGGGTGGCTCAGTCGGTTAAGCGTCCGACTTCGGCTCAAGTCATGATCTCATATTTCGTGGGTTCAAACCCTGCGTTGGGCTCTGTGCTGACAGCTCAGAGCCTGGGGCCTGCTTCAGATTCTGTGTCTCCCTCTCTCTCTGACCCTCCCCTGCTCGTCCTGTCTCTCTCTCTCCCAGAAATAAATAAAAAAAATTTTTTTTAATTAAAGAATCACGTCACCTATCCCAGAGCCAGTTTCCTCAGTTTGGTTATTTTCTGAATAAATGCATAAAAATGTAAGACTGTAAGAAAATGAGAAATAGGAAAATAATCCTTTAAATGATTGGTATTTTTGAGGCTTCTTGGTGGCTCAGTCAGTAAAGGTCTGACTCTTGATCTCAGCTTGGGTCTTGATCTCAGGGTTGTGAGTTTAAGTCTTACGTTGGACTCCATGCTGGGAAGGAAACTTACTTAAAAAAATTTTTTTAATTAAAAAATTAAGATAAATGATTGGCATTAAATATATTCTTGTTTTACCTCACATTTCTCATTTTTAACAGTGTCCAACATGTAGTACTACTAGACTTTTGTTTCCCTTTTCTTTCTCTCCATATTCCTTGGACTTGCCATTTTTTTGTGTGTAGTGGTTAATAAAGTCATTGTTTCTGGAGCCAGATTTGTCTGGTTTGAATCTTGTCTCTACCACTTAAAACTGTGTGACCTTGGGCAAGTTGCCTAACTTCTCTGAGCCTCCCTTTCCTCAGCTCAACAGTGTGGACAGTAATAGCACTTAATTTCTTAGGATTCTTACATAGATTAAAGTAGTAATTTCATGGGGAGCCAGGTGGCTTGGCTGGGTCAGTGTCCAGCTTCGGCTTAGGTCATAATCTCATGGTCCGTGGGTTCAAGCCCCCACGTCAGGCTCTGTGCTGACAGCTCAGAGCCTAGAGCCTGCTTTGTATTCTGTGTTTCCCTCTCTTTCTGCCCCTCCCCTACTCGTGCTCTGCCTCTCTCTCTCTCTCAAAAATAAACAACATTTTAAAAAAATTTTAGTCATTTCATGTTAAGAGTTTAGAACAGTGCCTGCCACAAGGTAAAAACTCCATATATGCTCACTGCTCTTTCTCCTCCTCCTTCCCACACTATGCTCCCCCTGCCTCTGGTGTTCTATTAATGTTCTCTGTTTTTCATCACTTTTATAACTTTTATAATTAATCTGCCGTTATTTTGTCTTCAAGTAATCTACATAGTATTGCATATTTTCAAAATACTTTCATATGTGTTAGTTCATCTCTTCCTCTTACCAACCAATATAAGTTAGGCTGAGTCATTTTTAAGAAACTCAAGGAAGTGACTTATCTAGGAATTGAATTCATTAAACCCAAAGCTAGATCCTGGTTTTCTGACCCCAGAATCCATGTGTTTTTTATTAATTTTATATTTTAATTATTTTATCAAATAATATTTCATATGTAAAAAATAATATGCATTACATAATGAAAACTAAATGAGGGCCTGCAAACCTCCTGCCCAACTAAGGACTAAATTACTGTCATTTCTCTTACAACTAACTACCCTTGTGTTCTTATCTGTTCCGCCTCCTGCTTTCACTGTACCTCTTGAGAAAACCATCATCCTGAGTTGTTTTTCTTTTTTAATGTTTACTTATTTATTTTGAGAGAGAGAAAGAGAGCGTGCATGTGAGCTGGGGAGGAGCAGAGAGAGAGGGGGAGAGAGAGAATCGCAAGCAGGCTCTGTGCTGCCAGTGCAGAGCCGGGCACGGGGCTCCATCCTACAAACCATGAGGTGATGACCTGAGCTGAAATCAAGAGTCAGACGTTTAACTGACCTAGCCACCCAGGCGCCCCCATCCCGGCTTTTATACTTACCTTTCCCTTCTCATCCCTTATCAACTTTATTGAGCTACAGTTTCCATGCAATAAAATATACCCATGTTTAGTATGTAATTTGAGGAGTTTCAACAACTGTATACACTCATGTAACTGCTACCCCAATCAAGATGTAGCACATATTCATCACTTCAGAATCTTCCTCCCTCTCCTCTTTACAGTTAGTCCCTTCTACCTCCAGTGCCGGGCAACCCGGTGCTTCCTGTTATTATTGGAGGGTTTTCCCTGCTTTAGAACTGGATATAAATAGAATTTATCAGAACACTGTCTTTCAGAATCACTATATTGTTATATGTATGACTAGTCCATTCGTTTTTATTGCTGAGTAGTATTCTGCTTTCTGGGCCACAATTTGTTTATCCATTCACCTGTTGACACACATCTGGGTTGTTTTCAGGTTGGGGATATCATAAGTAAAACTTCTAGGAACTCTGAAGTCTTTTTGTGGGTATATGTTTTCATTTCTCTTGGATAAAGAATTGAGGGTGGAGTTGCTGATCATAGGGAAGGTACATTTTTAGGCTTTTAGGAAACTGCCAAGCTGTCTTCCAGGGTAGTTACGCCATTTGATAGCCCACCAGTGGTACATGAGAATTCCAGTGGCACCACATCCTTGCTGACATTTACTGTTGTCAGTCTTTTTTATTGTAGTCATTTTAGTGGATGTGAATATCATTGTGGTTTTAACTTGTTTTTCCCTGATGACTGGGTATGTACATTTTTAGTTTTGAATTCGCCTCTGTAGAAGCTGTACATTATCAACATTTCATACTTAGTTTAAGTATTTTTGTTTTTAGAGTCCTGTGAAAATTTCTTCTTCAGTCCTGATACCACTCAGATGTTTGTGCGTAAGGTTAATTAATGAGGTATTCAGAAAGTAGAAGTCATGTGTTAATTCCTGCATGGTTTAGTCTTATTATTATGAATGGAGGGGTGGGATTTTAACCTTGTTTTAGTATATGTGCTGCCGAAGCGAGCACCTAACCTTGAAGAGAACTCATGGGAGGTGCCTGGCTGGCTCAGTCTGAAGAACACGCAACTCTTGATCTTGGGGTCTTGACTTCGAGCCCCGTATTGAGGGTAGAGATTACTTAGAAAAATAAATGAAACTTTAAAGGAAGAGAGAACTCATTGGGGAATGGGAGACAAAAGGGTAACTGAGAGATGTGGACATTTCTGAGATTATGTATTAGAACCTAGATTAAGTCTAACTTCTTCTTTTAGAAAGACCTCTTTACTTCAGTATGTATGAAGCATCTGTCACACACTCAGCTATTACTCCATTTTTATTTCATCAGAGTCGTTTTTATTAGTAGGTGTGAGGCGAATGCAGTCAAGAGTAACAGGCCCGGCTCCCCAGATCCTTGAGTTCAGGAGCACAGGCAACAGAAACTCGTGCTAAGTGTTACAGAAACATTAACATTCAGGGGCGCCTGGGTGGCTTAGTTGGTTAAGCGTCCGACTTTCGCTTAGGTCATGATCTCACGGTTCGTGGGTTCGGGCCCCGCGTCAGGCTCTGTGCTGACTGCCAGCTCAGAGCCTGGAGCCTGTTTCAGTCTGTGACTCCCTCTCTCTCTGACCCTCCCCTGCTCACGCTGTCTCTCTCTCTCTCCTAGAAATAAAACATTTTAAAAAATTAAAAAAAAAAAAGAAACATTAACATTATACGTTTTATATGAGAACGCATACTTGTTCCAAACTCAGAAAATATTTTAGATTAAACATAGTGGATCAAACATTTACCTTTACTTTTTCTTGAAACACCACTGAAATGTTTCAGAAAGGGAATTTTTTAAAATTTTTATTTATTTTTGAGAGAAAGAGAGGGAAGGGGAAGGGCAGAGAGAGAGTGAGACATGGAATCCAAAGCAATCCTCCAGGCTCCGAGCTGTCAGCACAGAGCCCAACGTGGGGCTCCAACCCATGAACCATGAGATCATGACCTGAGCCAAAGTCAGACACTTAACTGACTGAGCCACCCCAGTGCCCCAGAAAGGGATTCTTAATCTAGAAACCCACAGTGACAGAATCAGTGAGGAAGCAGCAGCAGATGTGACATCCAGAAAGTTCTGGAAGCTGGAAAATAAGTGGATGGGTGGCAACTGGCTTATTACACCAGAGAAGGCGGATAGCTGAGCAGCTACAGACAGAATGTCAAGTCCGCCTGAAAGGGTTTGGGTGTGGGAAACAAAGAGGTGTCTCAAAGGTCAAGCATGCAGGGCTGGGCTGGTAACAGGAGGTTGGGCCAGAAGGCTTTACAGGAAACACTTGTTTATATGCCCTTTCTGCCAAACGGGAGGCTGAGGTGGGTTTCTTCGAGCACCTGAACTAGAGGAAATGTGGGCTTGGATGAGGCACAACTCAAGGAAGGGTATTCTACAGAAAATGAGGGCAGAATGAAAATCTTCCCACCTGAATGGCGAGCACCTTAGCATGCCTTCTGCAGTTAGCATCTAGAACCGTGGCAGCTGGTCTCTTCCTCTAGGGGAAAGCACCTGCTTGTCCAGGAGATAAAACCTCCAGATACTCACGTTGAAGGCTTTCCTGCAAATGGCCCGGACCCACTTTGTCCCACACTGAGGACTGACTCCTGGAGAAGACTTGCCTTTAACCATAGAGCCGCTCATTGCCTTGCATAGGAAAGACAGAAGCCAAGTCAGTCGGACAAACCAAAAGAAGCTCAAAGGAAATAGAATGGAGAGAACAGATGAAAACTTTTAAAACAATGAATGAACAATGTCACAGGTTAGAGTAGTGTATATATGAAAACAAGAAAAAGAAGTTTTTTAAAAAAGAACATTCAGAGAATTAAAGAAAATGTTCTAGGAAATTGAAAGGTGTGATGGCCACAAGAAAAAATTAACTAGAAGAGGTGGAATGTTAGAATTGAGGCAACGTCCCTGAAAGTCCAGAGGCAGAGAGAGGAGTGGTGTGGCAGAAAAGGTAGAGATGGTGAGTCCGCGAGGCCCAAATCCCAATACCCACCTTCCAGGGGGCAGGGCGCCCAAGGGGCTCAGTCCATTGAGCCTCGGCTCTTGATTTTGGCTTAGGTCATGATCATGAGATCAAGCCCCGCATTGAGCTCCGTGTTCCGTGTGCTGACAGTGCAGAGCCTGCTTGGGATTCTCTCTCTCCCTCTGGCTCTGCTCCTCCCCTGCTCATTCTGCTCTCTCCCTTCCACCTCTCTCTCTCAAAATTAATAAACTTAATAAAGAAAAGAAAACAACAAGGGACAAGTGATTAAGAAAATTTTACAAGAGGGGCGCCTGGATGGCTCAGTCGGTTGAGCGTCCGACTTCGGCTCAGATCATGATCTCATGGTTCGTGGGTTCGAGCCCTGCATCAGGCTCTGTGCTGACAGCTCAGAGCCTGGAGCCTGCTTCGGATTCTGTGTCTCCCTCTGTCTCTGACTCTCCCCTGCTCACACTGTCTCTCTGTCTCAGAAATAAATAAAACATTAAAAATTTAAAAAAAAAAAAAAGAGGAAAGAAAGAAAATTTTACAAGAAAATTCCCAGAATTGAAGGTTACGAGCTTCCGGGTTGAAAGTCTCACCAAGCACCCAACACAAAGAGAGAGAAATGTCCCAGAGCTGCAGGACCCCAGACGTAAAGGAAAGCAACTGAATCTTCCAGGAAGAGAGTGTAGGTGACAAGGACTGGGATTCACATTGGCAGAGAGACTCTACGGCCCTGCCGGACATCAACCGGCCCAGCAGTGCCTTCACGACCGTGAGAGGAAATTATGTCCAACGTAGAAAACTCGGCCCTGTCAAAGTTTCAGTCAGGGGTGGAGGAATAAAGACTTTTAGATGTGAACAATCTGAAGTCTCCCTTCCATGGACCTTAAAAAAATTCAGCAGAGAATAAAGAGGAGGACCTGGGATTCAGAAACACTGCTCCCAACACAGCCAGAGGGACTTCCAGGGATCACGGGGAGGGAACTCCAGGGACTCAGGGATCACCAACTGAGCCAGTCAGGCACCCCGAAAAGGATATGTTATGGGTTTGTTTTTTTTTTAAGTTTACTCATTTTGAGAGAGACCATGTGCCCATGAGCAGGGGAGGGGCAGAGAGGGGGAGCAAGAGACTCCCAAGCTGTCAGCACAGAGCCCGACTTGGGGCTCGACCTCATGAGGCATGAGATTGTGACCTGAGCCAAAATCAAGAGTCAGACGCTTAACCGACTGAGCCACCCAGGCAGCCCAGAGATTTTTTTTTTACACTGAAAGAATGAGGCAGTTATCAACACCAAGAAAAATAAAGCGGAAATGAGAAAGGGAAATGTATCATAGTGCACAGTGTGGGTAGGTTGTGAATAATATTTATGAAGCTGTAGCAGTGTGAACACGTGAGTATTGATTTGCCCCAGAATGTGCTGCACTGTAGTAGGAAGTGAGAGGAGCCCGGGGGGGGGGGGGGGGAATAATACATCTTTGGGGGAAAGGAATAGAAACTGTAGAACTGAACCCCATCCGTGGTAGGTAGTCTTTAAAACTGAAAAACCAGGGGTGCCTGGGTGGCTCAGTCAGTTAAGCATCCAACTTTGGCTCAGGTCATGATCTCAGGGTTCCTGGGTTCAATTCCTTCATCGGGCTCTGTGCTGACAGCCCATAGCCTGGAACCTGCTTCGGATTCTGTGTCTCCCTCTCTCTCTCTGCCCCTCCCTGGCTTGCACTCTGTCTTTCTCTGTCTCTCAAAAATAAACAAACACNCATCCAACTTTGGCTCAGGTCATGATCTCAGGGTTCCTGGGTTCAATTCCGCATCTGGGCTCTGTGCTGACAGCCCATAGCCTGGAACCTGCCTTTGGATTCTATGTCTCCCTCTCTCTCTGCCCCCTCCCTGGCTTGCACTCTGTCTTTCTCTGTCTCTCAAAAATAAACAAACACTAAAAAAAAAAAAAAAAAAAAAAACCAATAAAAGTCACAGTATAAATCTTATCTACCAACAGAAGGTAAATATGAGAGGAAATAGAGAAACCCAGTATAGTTCAGAAAAATATCTTTTAGCCTTTGAAACAGGACGTTCTCAATAATAATGGAGACAAAGCTATTTGTTCATATTCTTAACATTTTTTGAACAATCTGTTGATTTCTGTATGTAAAGGCTCCCTCACTGACTGGTTGGGGTATTTCCTGTGTCTAAGGACACCTGTTAATTCCAGCAGACGCAGCTCCCATTGGAGAGGTTTAGGATTTTAGGAGTTTGTCATGCCACACGTAAGGCTCGTGCGTCCTTTCTCTTCCCTCCTGTGCAAAGTGTTGTTTTGACCCTTGAAACAACTTGTTTTCCCTTCGTCTGCAGAGAGTGAAAGTTGTCCTGGCGGGGAGCCCGGGAGGGCGAGCCCGGAGAGCGGCGGCTGCGGTCATCAGATGGACAGGCAGGCCGAGCCCCCGAGCCTTCTGGTAGCTGCGGGCCAGGACCGCGCGGCGGAGCTGCGCGCCCAGCCTCCGGGGGCGGCGGGGAGCGCATCCGAGGGCGCCCGCGAGGGTGGCAGCCGCCTGCAGCCGGCGCAGACGGACGCCGGCCGGGGTGCGGCCCGCCTCGCGGAGCCCGGAGCCACGCTTCCCGGCGAGTCGATGCCGGAGCCCTCGACCTTCCCAGGCCCCGAGCTCACACCCCCCGCGCCCAGTTCCCAGGGAAGATACTCACAGACTCAAAGGAAGGAGCTCCGTTTGCCACTTAAGGATGCTTCCGAGGCGTGGCCCACGGACCGACTTGAAAGCAGTGGATTACGTGAGCCGCAGCAACCTGATCTCACCGGCAGCGATGGAAAATCACCCCGGGGGCCGCCGGGCTCCGAGAGGGTCCCCCGGGAGCGCACTGAAGTACCCGCCGGGCTGCTAGAGCCGTGCATGGCCCCGGAGGGAGGGGGCGGCGAGGACGACCCGGTCAGTACGGAAACAGAAGACTATTTGCACAGCTTTCTCCAAGGATGCTTAAAAGATTCTGAAGACTTCCTGTCATGTGAAGACCAAGAGGAAGACTCGGACCTCCTTCCAGATCTTTCTCCTGAAGAAGCCTCCTACAGTCTGCAGGAGAATCTGCCTTCTGACGAGAGCTGTCTCTCTCTGGATGATCTCGCAAAAAGGATCCAGATTGCAGAGGTAAGTTTGGGATTTAATGGAAGCACAATGAAATCTCAAAAGCACATCTATGCTAAATGGTGCCTGGTTCGGGGAAATTTTCCCCGGTTTCAGACATGAAGGGGAAATCGACTTAACGTAAACTTTTAATAATTAGTGGTTTTAATTGTTTTGATTAAACAATGGTTTAATTCATTTGATTGAATGAAATGACTTTGACAATGATGTTTATGCTTCAGGAACGTATTGTATTGCATGCCTCTGGGTACAGTAAGCATTATGAACACCATTATTTTATACCGCTGGATTTTTATTTGACAGTTCTGGGAATTATGATCAAGACAAGATTAGTTACATTCTTGTAAGAAAATCTCTTTTTTCCTCAGACACCTAGAAGATAAAATACATATTCACTATGTCTTATTATTAATATATTTTTTCATTTTTTAAAACATTACAGCAGAACAAAGGAAACATTTTAAAATAGAAGAAGACAAAGATACTGGATGTTTTTAAGCCATTAAGTTGTATGCCATGAGTCTTCCCTTTATGATTGTTTTCATTTATAAACTGTAGGTTTAAACAAACGTAATACTTACTTGACTTGACTTACTTGACTAAAGTCAAATATTGTAAATAATCCAAGGTTTCAAAGTTTCTCCAAACAGTAATGAAGCTGGTCAAAACAAAACAAACAAAATGGTGGAGAGGATCGAGATGACCATTCTCCTTTGATAATACCAGTTTTTAAAGTTCAGGAAATTAGTAAAGCCGTACCCAACCTGTAACCCTTTGGGAGGGTGGCCTCTTACAGGGGAAAAAGCTGAGTCTTCTAGTCAGATACAGAATTGACCCCACCAGCTACCAGCCTACAGAGTTTCTTAACGTTCACCTAAGTCTCTGTTTCCTCCTCTGAAAAGTAGGATACTACTTTTCTTCTTTTTCATCGTATATTTTTTTTCCAAGTAACCTTTTGAGTCCCATTTATACCCATTGTTTTCTAATTGCATCATCGTTGAGGAGAAGGTGGGAGAACTTTTAAGTAGAAAATGGAAAAGCAACAGAGCCAAAGTAGGCAACAAAATACACGCAAAAATGGAAGCCTTCGAAAGCTTTCCAAGATAATTAGCGGTTAGATTACTGGGCTTCGTTTATTGCCACTTCTAGTCAATTTCCCATCACCTATTCTTAATTTTTTCTTCAATTAGATAGAATAGTAAAGCACTTGATCCAGTATTTATTCATCTTTTTTATTTATCTTTTTATTACCATCTACAGTCAATATGATTCTTTCTTCTTAATCTTCTCTTGAAATTATTTAATAGTGCCTCATGAGCACAGAGTTTCTGTTTGGGTTGATGAAAATCTTAGAAAATTTTAGAAATAGATGCTGGTAATGGTTGTACCACATTGTGAGTATAACTAATGCCACCGAATTGCTAAAATTGCAATTTTAGATTATACACATCCTGCTACAATTTTTTCTTAAAGTTAAAAAAAAAAATTAAATAGAGGGGTACCCGGCTGGCTCAGCTGGTGGAGCATGCGAAGCTTGATCTCAGAGTCGAGAGTTCAAGTCCCACATTGAGTGCAGAGATTAGTTAAAAATTGAAAAACATTTTTTAAATGTTTTCATTTAAACAGCATTAAGTAGAGCTAGTAGTACAGCACTGGACCCACTGGATCCTTCCCTTGTTTATTTCATCAGGCCTCTGATACAGGGAACTATCAAAACAGACATCACACCTATATTCAAATCTAACGAGAATACCAAAAGGTCACCCTTCTCTGATTGCTGCTTTTCATGCCAGTAATCAAGGTGACCCTGTGGGGAAAAGACAGATGATCGAGTTGTACACCTTTAGGTATAAATGATGAAGAAGGGTCAGAGTGGCCCTGCCACGTCTCCCCACCTTAGAGAACACTTACGGTGGGGGGTTACTGTTGAATTCATGTTGTATTACAACCAAGTGGGGTGTTCCTTCCTCCAACTCATAACGTCAGTTTCCCTACATAGGTAATACCTGGTGGATAGTGGAAACTATTTACATTTTAAAGTTGTCTTTCCTGTGAAGTCATTTTTCACACGTAATGGTTCCCTTTCCTAAAATTATATCGTTATGTTGTGCTGTTTGAAGAACCTCAAAAGCTACATACAACTTCTAGAATTAATTTGCATTCCTATGATAATTCTGAATATTTCCTTCTCCATTCTGAGGAATAGACTTTATTAAATTCTGCGTTACCATGTCAGCAAGTTTTTAAAATTTCAGAACTAAAAAAATCACTAATGCTTACAATTTCTTTAAGATCTTACAACTAAAGGTTTGGGCCAAGTAAAATGTCCAGGTAATAGTGGATTTGCTTGTAAGTGCAAACTTCTTTAATTAAAGAGACTTTTTTCTTTTTTCTAAGTTTATTTATTTTGAGAGGGGAGGTGGAGAGAGAGAGAGAGAGAGAGTAGGAGCACAGAAGCAGGGGAGGGGCAGAGAGAGAGGAAGACAGAACCCCAAGCTAATAGCACAGAACCCCAAGCTAATAGCACAGAACCCCACAAGGAGCTTGATCCCTTGATGAACTGTGAGATATGATCTGAGCCAAAATCAAGAATCAGAAGCCTAACCAACTGAGCCACCCAGGCGCCCCAGTGCAAACTTCTTTTTAATCCAAACACCATTTATTGCTCAGTAGAATTCTATCAAGGATATCTACTGTGAGTCACGTGCTGAGGACACGGTGAAGAATTGGTAGACTTTCGGTTTCATCCTTCAGTGACTTACTTGGGTAATTGTACCAGAATCGGTTTTAAAATATTTTTCATGCTTCTGTACTTTTGTGAGTAGAGAATACAGAACAGGATTTTTTTTGAATTTTTGTTTAACTTTATTTATTTTGAGAGAGAAAGAGCAAATGGGGAAGGGACAGAAAGGGAGAGAGAATCCCAAACAGGTTCCTTGCTGCCAGCGCAGAGCCCTGTGAGGGGCTCGAACTCATGAACCATCGGATCATGACTTGAGCCTAGATCAAGAGTCAGACGCTTAACCGACTAAGCCCCCCAGATGCCCCAGAACGTGGTCTCTTAATAACTAATTGATACTTTTTTTTTTAATTATTTTTAACATTTATTTTTGAGACCGAGAGAAACAGAGCATGAGCGGGTGAGGGGCAGAGAGAGAGGGAGACACAGAATCTGAAACAGGCTCCAGGCTCACAGAGCCTGATGCGGGGCTCGAACCCACAGACCGCGAGATCATGACCTGAGCCGAAGTCAGACCCTTAACCGACTGAGCCCCCCAGGCGCCCCATAACTAACTGATACTTAAGAACAGTAGCTTTCATGCCCTCCGGAGCCACTGTGGCTGGCCCGCTTCCCTCCGCGTTGCTGTGCCGTCCTCCTGAGTCCTCTGTTCTCCCCTCCGAGCCACCCATCTCCCGTGAGCGACTGCCCCTCACAGATCTCCTCGCTGCCGTCACTCTCTGCATCTCCCTGGCTACAGTGGAATGTAGCTGTACCCTTTTTCATCACCAGGTTTTCCCTTTGTGCTGGTCTCTCTTCTTTCATTCTCTTGCCACTTCCGCCTTGCCCTGCTCCGGCTGCCACTGAACTTGGCTTTGACAACCGCTGCCAGCCCAATGGGAGTGTTTGTGTGTCTTTTAAGCAGTTAGGTTCATCACATCAAATGAGGTAATTTACACAAAATCTTCTAGAGAACTAAACAGATCTACACTGATTCAGTTCAGCAAGGTAGAGACGTGTATAAATGAAACTTTTCTGGGTTTGAGAAGCATTTTTAAATCTAGATTAACTTTGCTCAGTAAAATGATAGCTTAGTGCTTATCCGAAGCAGTGATATTCTTTCTTATGTGAAAAGTACAACCAAAAGTACAACGTGCACTGTTTTTTTTAAATCCTTTTCTTTAATATTTTATGTATTTCTGAGAGAGAGAGAGAGAGATAGAGTGAGCAGGGGAGGGTCAGAGAGAGAAGGAGATACAGAATTGGAAGCAGGCTCCAGGCTCCAAGCTGTCAGCACAGAGTCCAACACGGGGCTCAAATCCACGAACCATGAGATCATGACCTGAGCCGAAGTCGGATGCCTAACCGACTGAGCCACCCAGGCGCCCCAACCAGCACTGTTTTTAAAAAGCTTCAAGGGGTGTCTGGGTGGCTCAGTCGGTCGAGCATCTGACTTCAGCTCAGGCCGTGATCTCGCCATTTGTGGGCTCAAGCCCTGCCCCGGGCTCTGTGCTGACAGCTAAGAGCCTGGAGCTGCTTCAGATTCTGTGTCTCCCTCTCTCTCAGCCCCTCCCCTGCTAGTGCTCTGTCTCTCTCTGTGCCAACTCGTACTCTGTCCCTCTCTCAAAAATAAACAGTTTTTAAAAAATAATAAAACATAAAAAGTTTCAAAAACATTTATGCTCATTTAATAGATTTTTAACATAAAAAGTTTGTCACATGTGCAGGGTCCACAAGGTAGAGAGATCCACTCTTTTGTTCCCTCCTCAGTAATTTTTTTGTGACTTCTTTGTGTCCATGACATTGCAGATGTGGTGGCTAAAAATTCAGATGGGGACTCTCTGTACAAAGCCTGCATTCCAACAGTTGTCCAACTGCAAGAGTTGTCTGTTTGCTGAATTTGACTATCTCAGTTTGGGGGGAAAAGATGAAATTTTATTGCGATACCCATAATATCTAACATGATTATTGTAATGTCAGAACCCAAACTCCCTTCACCCAAGGAGCCTATAAGTCATTGCCAATAAATCACTGACTTGCTGGGCTCTAGAACCTGGGAGTGTTGTATTATCTTCTCTTGAAACTCTCCAGCTCTTCCCAGCATAAGAAATATGTTATTCAAATTCAAGGTGACATCATGATCCAAGCCGATATTGGTACTAAAAGTCTACTCAGCCTGTAATCGATTGTTCCCTGAGGGAGTGGGGGTGAGGAAAGTGTTTGTTTTCTGAATAAGAGACAGTCAGATCAAATATTGGGTCAATTTTATGAGAATTAATCTGTC